TCATCTTCATCTGCTCCTTAAAGTAGGTTTTTATCAGCCAACATTCCGTTAGCTCATTTGGTATGACTGGTTGAACCTAAAAGAAATAGTCCTGCATTTTCAATGTATTTCCTAATTCAAGATTTTTCCTATTCCTGATTTGTTTCTGAGTAGATGAAGAGTTTTCAACATTTGGAAGTTTATAGATGTAGATCCTTAGAGTATGCACAGCAATGTTTTTTTAATTTTTTAAAAATGAGTCCGCTTTCCTGTTTTTCAGATCATTCCCAAAGTAAAATTGGCTACCCTTCCCATCACTTACTAGGCTCAGAGTACTTATGATGTTTGGATACTACAATTGTCACAATTTCTGGCAAATGCCTTGTTTATCAAAGGAACAACGATTAGAAACCTGATTGTCATTCCTGGGTACATTCATCTGAGGATGAAGTGTGAAGATGAGAGAAAAAAATTTTTGTAAACTGTAAAGCTCTCTACAAATGCGCAAGACGCATTTCCAAAGCAAGCTGAAACCTTCTGCCAGGGAAGGCGTGGTGAGAGAGAAAGGATCGTAAATACTTTAGTGTCAAGGAAACTTCCAGTTGCCTGGTTGAAGCCTGTGGACCCCATCTCAGAAAAAGTAGGGTTTTTATATGCATAAAGTAAAATGAACAGTAAATCAAAAGAAACTAATTATACTGAATGATAGTTATCATAATAATTTTTTAAACTGTGATAAACCAATATATGGGATTCTATAGAAAAATGTTTTATTATAGAAAACTTCAAACAGATTCAGAGCAAACAATGGTGTAAGGAACCCACGGCACTCATTCCCAGCATCAGCTGCCATCGACATCCTAACACCCTCACGGAAAGGTAAGAAAATGTCCACACACTCTCCACAACCACCTTGATTATTTTCGAGGTAAAATTTACAAACATTGGGATCCACACCTCTGAACAGTTTTGACAAATGAATGTGGTTCTGTAACCCACACCCATACAAAGACAGGAACCCTTCCAGTGCCCCCGGAAGCCTCCTTGTGCTTCTTCCCTGCCAACTGTACCCTGTTTCCCCAAAAATAAGACAGGGTCTTATATTTATTTTTCCTCAAGAAGACACCCTAGGGCTTATTTTCAGGGGATGTGTTATTTTTTTTTAAGTACAGTACAACAATCTACATTTTATGCAGATATAGTTAAGTCGTCTTCTTCTGGAACATCATCATAATTCTCCAAACCCAGAATTCCATCCTGAATTTCTTGCGTCTCTATTTCCTTTAGAACCGTTGGCCCCAATCTCTCACGTAGAGCACTAGAGCTCTCATGGTGCAGATGAGAAGGGCTGCTCGTCTTCTTTAGCGCTCCGCTGCATAGCCACGCCCATCACTAGGGCTTATTTTCGGGGCAGGGCTTCTATTGTGCAAATGCTTAGAAATCCTGCTGGGGCTTATTTTATGGGTAGGTCTTATTTTCGGGGAAACACGGTACCTTCTGGTTAATTTAGGAAATAACAAGAACTAATGGGGTGTCTAAAATCTGTAAAAATTTGAAGAGGTGATGAGCATGAATGCTATTTCGAGATATCTCTAACAACTGCAAAGTGGTATCTAGTCAATACTTCTTGTTATCTGTGGATAACAAAATCTCAGATGTGTGGTGGGTTTGCTGCCTGTGTTCATGATGAGTGCCCGGGACACTGCTGAGCGCTTCGCTTATATTTAACCCGAGAAATTATTGATGACTAAGTGCTCTGAGCCTCATTTTAAAGATGAGGAAACTGGGATTCAAAAAATCCAAGTAATAAGCCCAAGATCGTCCAGCTCATGGCTGGTGGGACTAAGAGAAACTTAAGAATTAAAAACATCTGGACTCTAAGTTTGGCTCTGTTCCTTATTAGCTGTGTGACCATTGGTGAACTCTCTGGTCCATATTTTTAACTTCCAAAATTGGATTCATAACACCTCCCTCTTGGGGTTATGAATATTCACTGAAGAAGCTGATAATGTAGGATTCAACAGAAATTGGCTCTAGTCCTCAACCAAAATAAGACTGGAGCCCCATCTCTCTCTCCTTTGCATTTATTTTTTATTTTGAGATAGGTCTTGCTCTGTTGCCCTGGCTAGAGTACAGTGGTGTCATCACAGTTCACTGCAACTTCAAACTCCTGGGCTCGAGTGATCCTCCTGCCTCAGCCTCCTGAATAGCTGGGACTACAGGCATGCGCCACCATGCCCGGCTAATTTTTCTACTTTTTGTAGAGACAAGGTCTTGCTCTTGCTCAGGCTGGTCTCAAACTCCTGGCCTCAAGCAATCCTTCTGCCTTGGCCTCCCGAAGTGCTAGCCTTACAGGCATAAGCCACCGCACCCAGCCCATGGAGCCCTACATCTCTCTACACCTCTGTGTCCTTCCTCACCACATGTGGCTCCGGCTTCCCAGTTGCACTGGCACAGCAGGAGGTGGGGAGCTGCAGACTGGGAGAGGCTTATTGGAAGCCTTGACCAAGGTCTAATGTCCAAGGAGTAGCAAAAGAAGAGGGTATAAGAAATTTTGTGGCTTTTTTGCCATGACTTTCTTTTCCTACAACTTAACTGGAGTTACCGGCAAAGTTCTCAATGGGACAAGCTGAAGGTCACATTACCTGAGAATCAGACCCACACAGGGCTGGTTACAAATGCAGACTCCTGGGTTCTACCCAAGACCTAGGAATTAGAATCAATGACGGTAGGGTGTGAAAATCTGCATTTTTAACAAGTTCCCCCAAGTGCTTCTGATGCACACTCACACTTGAGAATCACTCCTCTAGACTTCAGTATTTGGAATGGTTTTGTCATGTGTCAGAATTTCTCCGTGCTCTCAAAGCCTATCACAGGGCCTTGTCGTTCCCAATAAGTTATTTAGAGATGGGATGTTTTGCTCACTGACATAGCACCAATGCAGTGCCTGGGACATAGTACCTGCTCAGTAAGAATAATCATCATTATTTTGCTTCAATCAGGTGACTGACCATCCTCTTCTTTGAAGAGCTTTGTAAAGAGCTCACTGGCTACTTAAACACAGACAAAGGTAAAGAGAGGCCTGTGCCACAGAGATGACGAGGTTGATGATAATGAGGATGATGACAGTAACTGCAGCAGAATGACCTTTGGAGCCCCAATTCTTCACCCCTCTTTGTATCTATACATCCTTGCTGTAAAACTTTACAATTTCTTCCACAAAAGGGAAGGTATACTTCTCCACTCCTTGACTTGGGGCTCAACCACGTGACTCGCTTTGGCCAACAGAGTATTAGCAGACATGACACAGGGTGGATTTGCAATGCAGGGTCTGCGTGGTTGGGCACACCCTCTAGTGACCTTGCCATCGCCAAGAGAAGAGTTTCCCCTGGGTAGCTGCTTCCTCTTCAGCCTGAGCCCCAGAGTAAACACATGGGGACCAGAGCCATCCTGTCCTGGAGCAAAGTGGGCGCTTATTGTCATACGCCACTGAGAGTTTGTGTGTGTGTGTGTTATGCAGCAATGGCTGACTGACACGGGGTGGTGATGGCAGTCATGATCATCATAAATGCAATCTACTTTCATTCATACAGAATAAGTTTTAATAATACAGAGAAAACAGAAAGTACAAGAGTTCCAGGTTGTGGGATCTGACAGGCTCTGCAAAATGACTGTGTGATTAGGGTATCCAACCTGTCTTAATCTCAGTGTCCTCATCGATAAAATACTTATCAAAATACTTATCGTACAATGTAGTCAAGAAGAATAAATGATCTGATGCCTATTAGGTGTCTGGTACAGAGTCAGCAAGACAAGAAGGAAACAAGAAGCAAAACAGCAAACAAGCAAACAAGAAGCAAACAGCAAAACAAGAAGGAAAGAAGGAAGGGAGGAAGGGAAGAAAGATGGGAAAGGGAAAGGAAGGAAGAGAGGGTAGGAAGGAGGAAAGGAAGATTGGCATGAAACTGGAAAGTTCGCCTGCAATTGAGGGCAGAGGTTCACAGCTCACACTTCGCCTCCTCTGAGCTCTGTTCACCCAGCCTAGACGCCAAGAAGAATGCTGTGCCATTCTCCCTGGGCGTTGCAAAGCACACAGCATTTCCCGGAGTACTATGCCAGGTGTTTGATGCTTTCACAAGCCTCCTCATACTTTTAAACCTGTTGCCACAGGAATAGCTTCCATAGTGGCAGTACTGGCAAAAGACTGGCAGAAAGAATAAGGAGGGGAGAAATCCACCCCACCCCCCTGTATTCTCACTGGGAAATTATCCTCAGCCTCTGATATATTAAAATTGAAGAGCTGTAAATGCTGGTTGTCATGACGACAAGTGGCATGCCGCCCTGCGATTGGTGGTGTAAGTTCACTTTCCTTTGGGTGTTGCAGCCTAATTAACTGTTATTTTTGTCTGCGTGGAGGAAGAGCCCACACTTGGGGTTTTTGGCAGTGATTGCAGCCCCTGTGGACTGAGTTAATTTTCATAGACTACAAAGAGAGACATGGCCGGGCCCCAGTCATATTTATAGTCTCAGAAAAGTCGCCAATGTTTAAGTAAGAGTCAGAGAAAATATTAGCGCACTTCCCAACTTCTCTTAGACAATTTCAGTATCTCTAGCAAGAGTTATCTGGGTTGGATTGGGGATGATAAACAGTAGTTAGCCCAAACCAAGAATCAGCTCTCTGTTCCTGGTTCCAGCTGCCTCTGCCTTCCCGACCCAACCCGCACACTCTCGTGAGCCTGCGCTCCCCGGGACGTGGCGTGTGGCACCGCCCTCCCTCACTGGCCGGCAGGCTGCGAGGCTAGCAGGGACACGTGAAAGCCACCTCATCTAGTTCTCCATCTCCACACCCACAGATGTCATACCTACGCCGGCCAATGGGTGGATCCAGCCAATTCCCTAAAGACCTCCAGGAAAGGAATCCCATGTTGCCACCGGACCAAAAACCAGAAAGCTGTCTTCCTGCAATTGAAACCAATTTGTTTTCAATTTTGATTCTTAGATGAGCTCCAGTTAACTTTCTGTTGTAATATGAGTTGACTCATATTCTCCCTCAATTTTTTTTTATTTTTTTTTTGCTTCCTGCCGTGTGTTTTTAAAAACTAAAGGATCCCTTCTCCCTAGGAAAGAGAAAAGCACGTCTTGCATTGGCAGTGATTTGAGTTGTACTTTTGCGACCAAGCGAAACTCTTCCGGAGAGGCCAGTGCGGGGGGAATGGTTGATAAATGGTGTGTGTGAGGACTCAGGAACATAGACAATATGGGTGGAAATGCGAAGTTGATCTGCAAAGAGGGGAAAAGCAGACTTAACACTGGATCAGAACCCTCAATGCACTGGACCTATTCCCAAAAAGCCATCCTCAGAAGTATAGTGGGCATTTAAAAATTCTTTTTGACCACTGTGATCCTTTGCCTATCTCTGTCTGGAGATTTCTCCAGTTTGTGGCAGAAGCTTAAAACTGTATTTCGTCGTGGCACAGGCTCCGCCACTCAGTCATGCCTGGGCGGGCGGGACTTTGAAAGGGAAGCTAGTTGCCACAAGGAATCCGCCCGGGAGAGAGCAGCAGCAGGAGTGCTCGGCTTCCAGAGACAACAAAGGCAGAGGTCCCTGCGGTAGCATCCCTGCGCCCAGCGCCAGCTGTGGGGCCGGGGTGTCTGGCCCAAAGTAGCCACGGTGGGAGCTCCACCAGCCCAGGGCTGCAGTGGAACTTCAGTGGTGCCTCTGAACCCATGGCCTCTGAGCCAGGTTCTCTGGAGGTTCTGCGGGAATATGCAACAATATTTAATAAAAACCTGGTGTGTACATGTGTGTATGTGTGAGAGTGAAAGAGAGAGAGAGACAGACAGACAGACAGATAGACAGGGAGACAGACAGACAGGTTACTGGTGGGTATAAGTAGAATGAGGCTGGCCGGAGGAGTTCCTTGGAGAGAGAACATGCATGGGTTCCCCCACGAAGCAGGTCCCAGGTCTTACACAAGAGACCACATTTGGGTTGATTTTTGACTCTACAGCCAACGGTGTGTTTACTCAGCTGCCATAACCTCAAACTGACAGTTAAATTGGGAAAGCCTCACTTCTTGGAGATAAGGATTTTCTGGCATCCAGGGAACTTGAGTTTGGCCCTAAGTCAATCACACGCTCCTTGCTCTAGACGTGATGACCTGGCTGATTGGGCCCGAGCCTTTCCCAGCACTTTGCGTTTCTGTCCGGCTGTATGGGCGCTGGCACAGCACAGGGTGGTACAGAAGGGATGGAGCACACTCTGATGGGATAGCCTGCCAGTCATCTTTGCCACTTGTGAGTCACGTGTGTGTAGACATCTCCCGGCTTTAGAGGACAGTGCCTCAGTCAACACGCAGGCACAGAGGTGGGACACATTCCTTTTTGCTTTCTTCCAATTGAGATCAAAGATGAAGTCGGGCATCTAAGATGACTTGGCAACAAAAGGACTTGGGTGTTCTTAAATCATCACTAGCACCGAGCAAGGCAATGGTCCACGGTAGTAACAGGTTCAGCAGTGGCCTGCCAAAGGGAAGCATGAATAAATCCCTTTTTTCATTAAACTGGCCAAGGATTTCTGTTGCTATCAGCTTAAGAACGCTCGCTAATGCAGAAGGGCTTAGCTGCCTGTTTTTGTAAATAAAGTTTTATTGAGACACATGCTCATTCATTTACATTGTGTCTATCTATAGCTACTTGTGCACTACAAGCAGTTGCACCAGGAGCCTAAAATATTTACTATCAGGCTCTTTACAGAAAACGTTTTTTAACCCTTGATCTAGGGCATTGCTACTCAAAGTACGGTCTCAGGGATAGCAGCAACAGCAGCATTCAGATGATTAGAAATGCAAATGGTCAGGCTCCACCCCAGATGTACTGAATCAGGATCTCTTTGGAGGTGGGGGAGAAATTTGTGTACTAACAAGCTCTCCAGGTGATACTATGCACACTAATGTTTGAGAAGCCCTGTTCTAGAAAGCTCATCTTTCATATTGCATGGAAATCTGTCAACTTAGAGAAGGTATGATGTTTCCAGTTTTTACCTGAATCCACCCAAAACACATATATAGTCCCTGCTTTCTCTGATGGCTGTCAAGAGATCTGAAGGTGCTTCTGATTCCTGGAGGGTCTTTTTAATCTCGATAAACAAACTCATTTCCCACAAAGGTTTTCCATCCATCTCTCCACCACTTTCATTCGGCTAAGACACTTCAGTTTATCAACACTCTTCTCACTGTGTTGCCTGAACTCTAAACCATGAGATATTTTTGCAGGACCAACATTACTGCACTCTCCTACAGTAAGCAAATAGCAAAGTGCTTAAGTATTGGGACCTTGGAATCAGACAGGTAGATTTATACCCTGGTCTTGCCCTGTTGAAGGCATGGGACCTTGGCCAAGTTACTTAATCTCTTCCAGCCTGTGAAATGAGCATAATAATTATAGCACCCACCTCCTGGGGCCATCAAGAAAGTTAAATGAGATAATGCACAAATATCTGGCTCTTGATAAATATTCAAAGAGTGATTATTACTAACCAGTGGCCCATCATAAACACTTAGCCTGTGAAGTTAGACCTATGCCTGAGCTGAAAAGGGAGCAGTAAATGTCAGGCACCTTTGTACACAAGCCTTTGTCTATGGTCACTAGTTCTCCAGGTGCCCTACAAGCCCTTAGCTTCCTTTCCATGATTTAAGACTCCAGTCATAATTTATTCTATTGCCTTTCCCTGGTTGTCATTCATCATTTTCAGTTCCATTCAACAGCTCAACAATGATCAAATGCCTACTATGTGCCAGGCACTGCACCAAGCACCCAGGAAATAGAGGTCAACACGAGGACTTTATATCTGGGAACATCTCGGTGCAGAGCAACGTTTATTTAGCACAGGAACCCTTTTGTTCCGAGCACGTCCTAGGCAGAAATGCAGAAAAGAGGAAGGAGAGAATGCGCTGGTGGAAGCCAGGAGGGGGTCTGAGCCCTTACCCATGGAGTGAGTGTCCTCCCGAACCGCACCCTCCATCCCCCGCAAGGAACCCTAAGGAACCCAGGGTGGCTGCAGAACGAGAATGGAAACCAGTCCACACGGTGCGGGACACGTCGGAACCAGACGGGGCCGGGCTTGTAACGCCTTTCCCCTCGAGTGTTCTGTCTCTGGCTTGAGGAGTCGAAGGGAAATCTTTCTAATTTTGTGTTTCCGTTTCTGAAAAAAGTTTTGAGAAAGGATCCTTCTATCTGCCCCTCTTACCTTGGTTCCCTTCTGCGTCTCTCCGCGAGCCGCTGTCTCCCCTACGACCTCAGAACCCAGGCAGGCTGGGAGGCAGGGCGGCCTCACCAGTGCGGTGGGCCTCTCTTGGTTTCGCCCAGTTGACGGGCGTCTCTCCCCTCTTCCGCTCACACCGCCTTAACTGTTGTAAGACGCATGGCAGCCTTTCTCCGGCTCTCAGACGTCAGCTAGCAGGTGCAAGCGACTTCATTTATAATGCCAGCAGGAGGCATGTGATGCAGCCTGGCCAATCAGAGCACCCCATTCCCCCCCAGCCTCTGTGACTGGTTCAGTTGTGGGCAGCTGACCCAATCAGAGCGGAGACTGTGGAGAGAGGAGCATGCGCTTTTCTGCTGGGCTGGAGCAGTGAGGCTGAAGCGTGGTGTAGACGGGCTAGGGGTCCCAGCTGAGCACCTCATCCCACAGAGGAGATCAGGGGACACAAGTGCCCAGCACCAAGGAAGGGCCTTCATCAGGGTCCCAGGTGGCCAAGATTTGAACAAGCATCCTTAAAAAGACACCCCTCCTCTTCAACATGAAATAGTGTTGGAGTGAAGAGAATGGTCTCTCAAGTTCGGTAGACCCGGTTTTCCCTTCACTCCTGTCTCTGCCAGTCACAAACTATGTGAACTTGGGCAAGTCACTTGACCTCTCAGAGCCTCAGTTCCCTCATCAGCGAATTGGGGATACTAGCACTTTTGCCACTGGTTGTTGAAAGAATATAATGAAGTTATAAGGTAATCTGTTTGATCACAGTACCTGTTGTGTCTTGAGCTAATAATGTTTAACCTACTAAACATTGTAAATAATAATAATAATGTTTACCTAGGAAACATTTTAAAATACATTAGCTCCAGGCTCTAGAAGAGCATGAGGTTGCCATGGGCTTTGGATGAAGGCTACAGTCAGTGTGGGGATGCCAGCATGTAGAAGGAAAAGGGTCTGGGGAGGTGGGGGACAGGAAAACAGAAATGGCTTAAGACCTACTCTTTAAAGAGCTGCCACTCTGTCACAGTAGCCACTTCCTGGTTGACTGTCAGCATGATAAGCTGGAAGTGGCCAATCTTTGCAGACAGGCAGATAGTACGGTTATCATATTATCATGCTATAAATTAGCATTTCAACATGAAACTGCCATTGAAATGCAGCTGAAATCAATTCTACCACCCCCTCTTCAGTCTTGTCCTCTGATTCTTATTGAGCAACCAATGAACCCAACTGGCTTCCACCCCATTTTTGTTGTCCGTGAGAGAGAGAGAGGGAAAAAAAAAAAGAGAAGGATTCTGTGCATCTCTAAGTGATAACTAAAAATGATGGTATTGCTTGTGCTAGTGGCTGGCTCTTTGTTGTTGCTGTTGTTATTTTATTCTTGGTCATTATTATTGGCTTCTGTGGTAGACTCAAGCAGTGTTTGAAATCTCACCCCCTTTCATTTCTCCGCTGCTTTGAAGGGAACCGCTGTGTACAGCCCACCAGTGGGAGACCTCCTCCTTCCCCTATCATTTTACGCTACATTACAACAGAAGTTGCATGACTCCAAAGGATGCTTTTGACTTTAAAGCTCTTGTGATCTGTTTGTGCCATACACATGTTAAATTAGAAATTCATTTGTCACTCCCAGATAATAATGTTCAGAATGGCGCTTCCTGCATGAATCATTATCTTCGGCCTGGAGTTGTTCTCCTTGATGAATATGCATGAGCCCAGAGAGGGGGAAGAGAGGTTTGCACAACCTGTTTCCTGGAGGAGCCTCCAATGGTTCAGCCCAATGTTCTGACTTTGAGCTTCCAGAGCCAAGCCCAGCATCTGCCTTGCCACCTACAGCTCGTCCAGCCTTCTCAGAACACCTGCTTTCTGCTGACAGCAAGTGCCCGGTGACAGCGGGGAGCCCACGCAGTCACAGGGAACGCTGCTGCCTGTCCATTCGTGAGACAGGAGGTGGGCTCGGGAGCGCAGCAGGTTAGGAGGCAGCGGAAAGGGAAGTGGCCTCACGGTGTCCTTCAGAAATTCCAGCTGTCGATCCAGAAACCATGTGGCGATGCCGCCGGCTCTGCCTCCAGGAAGCAGAAATTAGGATCGGGAGTCTAAAGAGTGATTAATTTCAAAGGGATACAAATGCTGTAGGCGGGCTGCAGTTGCAGGAAGCAAAGAAGGCTATCCCCACATGAGCAGCTGAATGTCAAACAAAGGAAAGGAAGGAATGTGTCGTGTTGCTGTCGTGTAGCTTCCTTGGGGTTCCGTAGCAGTTTGGCCACACCTGGATGATGCTATGGCTCCAGGTCCCTTTCACAAAATCTAGGCTTCGGTGCTTAAGGCAGACCTTGTTTCCTGTTGTGGAGGAATCAGTCAGAATATCTCATCCTGTTTGGATGAGTTTCATATGAGATCAAAGGTTCTCTATGCTGAGGCTCTCCTGCGGTCTTCTGCAGGGATCAAAAGAGATCATATTTACTGATCAGCTACTCTGTTCCAGGCACTGTGCCAGATACCATCACGATCATCTAAGGAGAGGGTGTTTTTGAAATATATGAATGTCTCCCTGTCTCGCTTAGAGCATCCATTGCTTCAGAAAGGATTGGGTTAGTTGTGGCAGAATCACAAAGAGAAAGGAACAATGTCCGCCTTTTGACTTCCAAAACAGGCTCTCTGTCGTGAGACAACAGCCTTATAATCCGGGCTTCCCTAAGAGATGAAGGAATACTTCTAAATTCTAAAACAATACTTCTGTAGCAACCCCGGGAGATCTGAGCATGGAAATTTCCTGCACGCTGTAGGTTAGAGATGACACAGAAGAGACATTTCTATGTCTTAAAAAGAAGATAAACAGTCCCAGCCCTGGGCAGGGGTTGGAAAGCTGAAGGGAGAAATCACAGAAGAGAGAAATTTTGAAGGGAAGAAAGAAAGATGAAGACACTTCTGTGTCCCTCGAGTTGAAGACGGAAAGCCCAAATGGTGTGAAAGAAAGCAGAGATCCAAGCGGCATCCCCTTGCAGCATGTCCCTAAGCTGGTATGGCATGGCCCTGGTGAGGTGGCATGGCTGAGGGACCTCCCTGAGTCCCACCTACTGCAGCCTGGTGCTGAAAACCAGGGCTGTCACATGCAGCCACACCGGCTGTGCCCCGCACAACACCGGACTCCACCACAAAGACCATGAGTCAGCAAACTTTTTCCCCAAAGGGCCAGACAGTAAATGTTTCAGCCTTGCGGGCTGTATAATATCTGCCACAAATCAACTCTGCCGCTGCTGCACAAACACAGCCATAGCCGATATGTAACTGTGTGGGTACAGCTCTGTTTCAATAAAACTTTGTTTATAAAGTCAAGTGACAGGCAACACTGGGTGCACGGGTTGTAGTTTGCGGACCCCAGTCGTAGATTATGGCGTTACAGTGTTCTCTGACATCGCCATCCTGCAGAAAAACCTGGCAAGATTCCCTGCTTCCTTCCTTCCAGAGGGACCCAGAGTGACCCAGAGTTTCTGAGAGAATAGACATGGCAGGAGAGCCCTCCCTGGCTTAGGATGAGAAGATCACAGAGTGAAGTTGTTAGGGACCGACCTTCCACAGCCCCACCGGACAGAAAAGCAGAGACATCGAGGATGCAATCACACAAGAGGAGGTATATTTTCTGGCTAGCCAGGGTCCAAGCCCCAGAGCGCCAACGCAGTGGCCACTCTCGCAGGCAAGGACCCCGACCGGAACAATGACATGCCTTTTATCCCCACGGTGCACAAGCTGCGCACAAGCCGACTACGCATGGATCATGCGTTGACCTTTAAAATGATTGGTTGCCCACTACTGCCTTTTGAAATAATTGGCGGGTTGGTTGCCCTCTATTGCCTGATGGGCCAGTCGCCCGTGCTTCAATGACCTCATCCCATAACTCCCCTTACAGCGGCGTAGCAAGCAAGCAATGACCAGAAGCAAAAGTTTGCGGTTAGCTCAATGCCCCACTCAAGTAAATTCCCGACAATTGGAAGAATTCTTCTGCCCTTCCTCTGTCCTACAAATTCCTCTGCCCTTCCTCTGTCCTACAAAGTAATCTCAGGCCAGAGCTAATGGCAGAGATCTGTGATTTCTGCAGCGGCAATCAGAAACATGCTCGACAAGTATCAGGACTTCAGCGCAGAGCAGGACCGAGGGTCCAGTTGAGACTCAGAATCCTGCTGTGGAGGTGGGTAAGGACAGTGTTTGACACATGGACAGAGACCTTTTCGCCTTCTCTTTGAAACACCTGAAATTTATGAACCCAGAGGTGGAGGAAAAAGAGTCCTAGAGAGAGGAAATAAACAACCCTGAGAGAGAGTTTGAATGGCAATCCATTCTTTGCCAAGACTGGGTTGACAAAAATGATGTTAAACCAGTTTTTCCTGCATACCTGTCCCAGGCAATAGCAAGGACCAGGACTGGGGCAAGATGAGATCTGTTATGGAAAATAAAGTAATTGACACAGATCCTTTGTTCATCTGAAGTCTATTGAGGAAATTCCTGCATGCAGGGACTAGTCCAGGCATTGAAAGGACCGCAGAGCAGCACATTCCTGCCTGGCAAGGCTAGAATTGTGGCCTGTGCATGCAAGACCAATGCTTTTTTCTTCTCTTCAACTTTTTTTTTTTATTATCGAATAATATACATAACATAAATTTTACCAGCTTAAACATTTTAAAGTGTACAGTTCAGTGACATTAAATACATTAATAATGTGCAACCATCATCACCATCTGTTTCCGTAACTCTTTTCATCTTGTAAAAATGCAACGTTTCACCTTTAAACAATAACTTCCCATTTTCCATTCCCCCAGCCCCTGGAAACCACCCTTCTTCTTTCTGTCTCTGTGAATTTGACTATTCTAAATACCTCATGTTAAGTGGAATCATACAGTATTAGTCCTTTGGTGACTGGCTTATTTCACTGAGCATAATGTCCTCAAGATTCACTCGTGTTGTAGCATGTGTCAGAAGTTCCTTCTTTTTAAAGACAGAATAATATTGGCTTGTACGTGTATGCCACATTTTGTTTATCCACTCACCCGCCAGTGGACACTTGGGTTGCTTCCAAGTTTTAGCTCTTGCGAATAAGGCTGCTGCTTTGTGCCAGAAGCATGCGTTGCCACTGTTGTCATGTGTGTTATCATAATGGTCTTACCACACTTACTGGCCCAGCCCGGAATGTTCTATTTTCCATTTTATTTTCCCACGGCAAGCCCTC